TTCCAGCCCTCTGGGATTTAAGTCGCCTCCTGCTTCTCCAGCCCCTATCCCTGACCTCCTTTCACTCACCCTGCATTCCAACCTCCTAGGCCAGCTTGCAGTTCCCTGCCACACCTGCATTTCTTCAAGACTTGGCCCACACTGTTCCTTCCGCCTAGAATGCCCTCCGCAGCCGACTCTACAATCTCCACAGATCTGGATTCTGCCCCCCTCTCAAGGCACAGCACTAAGGACACCTCCTCCAGGGAGCCTTCCCACTCTCAGCCTGTATGCCTGTCTCCTCACATCCCACCCCCACTCTCCTGGTGGACACAGACCCACTACACAGGGACATGAGCTCCCTAAAGAAAGAAACCATGTCCAGCACCTCATCTTTCCCCCACAGTCCCAGCCCTTTTTCTGACTCAGGTAGGCAGGTGCTCAAGGCCATCCCCAAGGACCAAACTCATCATGTTCAAAAACTCAAACCAGCCCCTTCCCGGGAGTAGGAAGCCCACAGGGGTAGGCAATGCTCGCCCAGGCCGACCAGCCCAGGGAAATCCCACTGTGCAGAGGGCAACGCAGCATATGAGAGCAGGAGGCATTTCTGGTGGCTTTCTCTGCTAGACAAGGGACAGGCCATCTCCCAATTTAACCCTCCGTGACCTTTGAACTTCCCGGGAGGTCAGCAGCACGTCCCCCTTCCCCAGCTGTCTTTCTGTCTCTGGCCCAATGGGAGGGAGGGCCCTGGGCCCGTTCCATTTTGTGCCCGTATTGATCTGTTGGCAGCAATGGGCTGGATAATTAGCCAGGAATTAGGGTTTCTATTACAGCCAGGAGGCTGCTCCAGCTGATTTATCACCTGAATAATTTACTGTGATTGAAAGGAAATTAAAATGAACTCCATTTGACAACTGTGAGCTTTTATGGGCTTTAGTGAAGGCTCAAAGCCAGATTAATAGCCTGGTGTTGGTTAATAGTCTGCCGAGAGTAAATACGGCAGGCTGTGCTCGGTGGCAGCCTTCCTGCGAGGCCGGAGGAGACCAGCTCCCGCCAGGAGCACAGCGCCCACGGCAGCGTCAACTCGAGTTTTACTGAAACAGATTTCACTGTGCGAAACAGAAATGCGCGCGCACACGCATGACGCCACCAGCAGTTGTTACTTGTTTTCCCCTCTTCTCCTCGAAGGTGATTTTTACTCACTCCACATGTAGGGAGAACAGAATTGCTTTTTCAATAACCATTTTGAAAAGGAAGTGTTTCATTGCCCCAGGAGTGTGTGCGCATTAACCCCTTCCAGCCAGGGTCAAGGGTTTACTAAGTTTCCCTGTAAAAGTGAGAGGCCTGGGCCCATCCACCCGGGGTCGATCTTGGGGGGAAAAGCAGCAAGGGGAGGGTGGGCTCTGAGCTCAAGGAAGTGACTGGCAGGCCCCTAACCTGGCCCTGAAGAAGGTTCTTCCCATAGGCGTTTGGGTGGGTGATTAGGAGGATTTGACCACCCAAGCCTATGGCAAGTCTCTGAAGGTTCTGGAATAACAGGTGAACTCTGTGTGCAAAAGGCCGATGCTGAAAACCAACCAATCAGAAAACTGGCTTCTAGAGTCTTTGGGGAACATGAAGACAGAAGGCAAGACGTCTTATATAAGATGAAAACTAAAGATCCTGGGGTCAAGTTCTAGCTCTGTGGCCTCGACAAGTCCCAGAAGCCTCCTGGGCCTGAGCCTGGGAGGAACACTCTGGAAAGAATGTTCCAATCTGTATAATGGGGCTCACCAATCTTGCCCAGCCTGCTCAGCAGACACTTACATGGAGAGTTCAGAGAGAGAAGGGATGTGAAAGGTCTTTGAAAACTGCACAGTGTCATGCATAGGTGAGGGAGATCACTGTTGTTACTGCCGCCGCCACTGCTGCTGTTATTATCACAATTACTGCTGCTGGAGATATGGACAATGAATTCCAAAGAAAAAATGACTTACCCACCAGGGCAGAGCCAGGACTCAAGTCAAACTCCAACTCCAAGGCCAGCAAATGCTCTTTCTCCCCGACCAGGCTGCTCAATGGATGAAACCGACAGCAAGGCCCGCACCCAGGCCACTAGCCCTTGGAGTCACAGTTCCGCTCACAATTGAAGGGGCCAGCTTCAGTGGCCAGAGCTCCAGGCCCCCTTCCTTGCCCGCTCAGGGGCTCACAAGGCAAGGCGAAAGCAAGCATGAGGGGGCTCAAGGAACCTGTACCCTTGGCGTGCCTGCCTTCCCAGCCTGCAGCCCTTGCTCGGACCATCATTTGTCCAAAGTGATTGGGAATCAGGAGCAAGGGTACGTCATTCATAGTCCAGTGCCTGTGTGTGTGCCCGGCAGCCCTGCAGCCTCACCTTCCATCTCTCCTCATTACCGCACATTACCGGGAGGTGAAGCAGATTAACCAGAAAGCCCTGAGTCAGTCATTATCCCACCACAAGGTTCATCTGCAGGCCCCGCCTCAGCCCACAGTCAGAGACAGGCCTGCAGCCGTATCCGCTCATTCTGAAGGACACCGCACAGCAAGACTGCTAGAAACAGCCCTCAGGATGTTTGTAATTCAGGTCTCCTTTCCAACAGGCCCCATCTCTAGCCACCTGTCCCCCAACACCTCCTCCGTAACATCCCCCTTGGTGCTCCTCGCTGAGGCACTGTCTCCATTCATCAGGGCTACAGAACCTTCTCCCTTGCCTTGCAAAGTCTGAATCCATCATATTACCCCCTGGGAGCTGGTGCCTGATTCATCCTCCCTCCCCTGGGAGCCTGACACTGTGCCAGACTCACAGCCCAGAATGCAAGAACAATGTTGGCTAAATGAGCACATGAGTGTCTGAGCAAGGGAGTGAATGAATGGACACACGGGTGGACTCCTCCCAGTTATGAAGCCCTGTAGTCTCTGCCCAGTCTTTCTGGGCATCCTAAACCAAATAAACTACGATTCAGATTCTGAGTTTCCATGAGGATCATGGGAAACACAGAGGGACGCAGTCGCTGAGGCTGAATGTTTGCACTGAGAAAATAAGGGATACTAGAAGGCTGGTGCCAGCACGCTAGAGGCTTTGTGCCTGGGCCCTTGCTCCTCACCACCCACCGACTGGATGACCTCACACAAACCCTGTGCCCGCTCTGGACCTCTTAAGGTGGAGGATGAAAGCTTGCAAGCGCTAAAACTATGTGCTCTTATCAATGGTTGGAAAATAAATTTTCTTCCAGATTCTGGAGGGAAAAGTAGGCTTCATCTAAAGAAATTTTCCTGACTGAATTCCTCTTCTTTCTCCTCCTGCGTCAGGTGAGATGTGGCTCTGGCCATATTTCAGAAGGGCCCTGGGCAGTGGGAGAGGCTGTTTGTGATGGAAACAGACTCTTCTCCCTACAACCCAGCAGCTAGAGGGTGAGGCTCAGGTCTGCCCGACCCATACAACGGTCATTCCCAGAGGGGAAGGAGGAGACTTTACTCCATTTGTAGGAGAAAGACCAAAACCCTGACCACAGCCTACTTGGCCAGACCTACTCTCCAACATCACCACCCACCCCTCTGGGCAGCATGGCCCCTAAAGCACAGCCTCTGGGTTTCTTTCTGTTCTTTACTCCTTCTCCCCCTCTCTCTTACCCCAGGGCCTTTGCACTTGCTCTTCCTTCTGCCAGACACAATCTCGCACACCCAGGTCCCTTCTCCTGATTCAGCCCAACCCCTTCTGGGCTCAGCACAAATGCATTTCCCCTTCAATCTGGCCCAGTCTCTGCTTTATGCTTTTGAAAAACCTCAGACATCCCCTCCTCAGCACCTAGCACATCTGTAATCCACAACTCTTTGGGTTATTCTTATTGTGATTCTTCCACACATCGGTAGACTCTCCAAGGGCAGGTCCAAGCCTGTCTCATTGATGAATGTACCTCTAGTATTCGGTTCTGTGCCATGCACATAGTAGACACTTATCAATGTTTGTGAAGTGAATACACGACTTGCTGTGTGGTGAGAGGTGGCCAGACTGCCATAGGATGGTGGCCCTGAGGCCTTGCACACTCCTCATCACCAAGGTCTCCTCTGGCACCTCCCCTCTCCACGGAGCTTGTGCACACAGCCTATGTGACTTTGAATGGCTCTTTCAGAAAATTCCAGAAGCATCATCTAATCAGCAGGCAGAGGAAGCTCAGCGCGGCCAGTCCTCACCACCAGGACGGATGGAAAAGTTCTGAGAAAGTCATTGCTCAGAGGTCTCTCCGACTCGCCCACCATGTGGGAGCTCTCGGCAGGCAGCGGTCATGTCTGAACAGCGTGTGCCAGCAAGGAAACCCGCTCAGGGCCTAGCATAGCCTGTGCATCAGGAACTAGTCTCCTGAATTGAATCTGGCCCTTATCCAGGCCCAAGAGCCTCTCACTGGGCAGACCCTTTCTGGTCCCATCTCTGTGACCATAAGCAGAGACTGCTTCTCTCCAGGGCAGAGCAGGGGGGCTGCTCAGCAAGGGGCCTCCTCCTGCTTCCTTCCCTCTCTTGCAAATGACTCAGCTGGGTGTTGGTCCAATGAGACACTTCTCATTTCCAGACTCTTGGATCCAGCCTCTAAAAGCATGACAGGGCAACCTGACGAGAGGGCTGACGGTGGGTACCCACCAGGACCACCATAACAAGGCCGTAGGGTGCTTACAGGATTCCCCTTCACCCTGACAGGATAATGACCTGAGACCACCTCAAGCGGCCCTAAAGGTCATTACACCCCCTGGGAAAGGCCGCCATTCAGCAATGGCAGAGCAGCCAGACAAGTCACGTCCCCTCCTGGCCGGCAGGAAAGACAGAGGCACCAGGGCAAGAAGTTGCCAGAGCCTCGAACAAGTCCTCCTGACCTCGTGGGATGCTGTGACCAGCCGAGTTTGGCCGAGAACAAGGAGAAGCCGCCTCTGAGTAGAGCTTGTTGTTCCTACCCACACGCAGCCAGGCACCTGGGGAGGACACCCAGGCCTGCGTGTGGGGAGAGGTGTGGCAGGCTGTGAGTCGCGGGGCTTACCTGCTCAGGCTTGATGGGCTCCGTGGTGGTGAAGATGTCCGAGTAGTGCTGCCTCTCAAACACGCGGTCCAGCACCTCCAGCTGCTGCTGCGTGAACAGGTCTCCCCGCATCTGCTTCCGGAGGAAATCTCTGCCCGGCAGTGAGTGACCGTTCGGCACCGGAGACTCCTGAATACCTTTGATGGGCATGAGAGAGGAAGGATGAGTGCGGCTTACACAAGTTGCTGAAGAAAGACTTGGCAGACCCTGAGACTGGGAAGAGGCCCTGAGAGAACCAGGAGCTCAGAAGCAGACAAAGGGGTCCTGGCCAAAGTCAACCTGCTGGTTAGTGCACAGCCAGCCTTCCATAGCCACGTGCTAGGCACTGTGCAAAGCCCTTTGTGCATGCATCATCTCATCTAATCCTCACTATGACCCCAATGAAGACGATATTATTTTCCCATTTTTCAGATGAAAAAATTGAGGTCTAGAAAGATCGAGTGATTTGCCTGGGAGCTGGATCTCAGGTTGACCAGAGGCTTAATCGGCAGGTGCCACTGTCTCTCTTGCACTGACATTCCCCCAGGGGGGTACAATTTTGTCCCAGAGTTCACGCCACTTCCCAGGTCATTTGCCGCTACACTATTAGGAAGGCTCTTAGGGAAACAGATACTCTCATACATTCTGGTGGAAACTTATTGGTCACAAACCTACGACAGACAATTTGACAAAAATCTCTCAAGACCACAAGTGCACATTCCCTTTGATAGAGCAACTGCACCTCTGGGAATTTATTTTATAGTTGGACTTACACATGTGGGAAGTGACATAGGTTCAGGTTCTAGTAGCAAAAGACTGGAAACAACCCAAAGGTTTATGTTGGAGGGACTGGTTAAGTAAGTCATAGTGTGGCCACACCCTTGAATACTGTGTGGCTGAAAAGAGGAAAGAGGATGTCCTTTGTGAAGAGATATGGAAAGAACTTCAAGATACATTATTATATGAAAAATAAATAAGTGAGAAAAGCACAGTATGCAGATTACAACCTATTGTGTAAAATTGGAGAAAACAGGATTTTATATAATGCATTATAAATTTATATATAATATACATCCTATCAAATAAGGAGGTAATATGCTAATTGACCCTCACACTATCGTAAAGATGACAGTGCCCACAGCCAATAAGGAGGGAATATGCTAATTGACTGCCCTGCTCTCAAAGATGGCGGCACCCACAGCCAATAATGAGGCAATATGCTAATTGATTGCCCGCTGTCAAAGATGGCAGCGCCCACTCCCCTCAGCCCCACCAGGGTGGCAGGCGTGTGGCAAGGCCAGGCCCACCGCTCTGCGCGCCTGCTTCTAGAGTCCCCCAGTCTCCTCAGCCCCCCGGCCGCCCAGGGCTGCCCGAGGCTCAGGTAACCAGGGCTGGCTAAGGCTTGCGCTGTCGGCAGTGGCAGCAGCAGAGGTGTGATGGGGCATCGCCTTCCCCTGATCACCGGGTCGCCTCCCACCCCTGAGGGCTCCCAGACTATGGAGGGGGCAGGCCGGGCTGAGGGACGCCCCCCCCCCCCACTCCAGTGCATGAATTTTCACGCACCAGGCCTCTAGTATATTAATATATGTTATATAGCTATTAATAAGATACATTATAATTATGTAATTATATAATATATACTAATATACATATACAATACATTCCACATAATGCATATATATATTAAAATACATATAAAATGCACACGTGCGCACACACAAAGGAACTCTGGAAGAACATGAGAAACATTCCGAGTGGTTACCCACTCAGGGAGGGAGAAACTAAGTGGAGGTAAACAAAGGGGAGGGAGAATTTTTCATCGCATGTTTGTTCTGTTTTGTTTTAGAACTTTAAATGTATTGTCTATTCAAAAATGCAAATTAAGAAGAAAGTACAGGGGAAACCAAGATGGCGGCATAGGTAAACACCAGAGTTAGCTGCCTCGAACAACCACTTCAAAAATACAACTAAAAGACGGAATGGACATCGCCCAGAACCACAGGAAGACTGGCTGAGGGGAAATTCTTCAACTAGAAGGAAAGAGAACAGCATAGGAGACTCAGAGGAGGCGCAGTGCGGAAAATACAAAGGTGCGGAGGTACGCGCGGAGCGGGCTGGTAGCTGAGGGCGCGGTTGTCGTTTTCAATCGGGAGGGAGTCTCAGATTCTGAGCTCCAGTTCTGGGCGAGTCTCTAGGGACCCAGACTCAAACGGGAGAAGTGGGACTGTCTGGCATCGGTCGGAACGCGAGGGCAGCTTTCTCTCCGAGGTTTGTAGCGGTTGCTGGGACTCTGAGAGGCAGAGCCTCTGGGGATGGGACTGAGAGCAGCCATAACTGCTCCCTCCACCCGCTCTGTTGATCCCGTGCGACCCGCCCCGCCCAAGCCCTGCACAGAGCCATTTGCCAGATAGCCTCAGGCAAAGGCTAGATTAGCACCTCCCTAGAGGACAGAAGTTTTCCCACTGCAGACACAGCTGATTCTCACAGCCAGTTGGCCTGGAGATCAAATCCCCCTAGTATTAACTACAACAATCAAGGCTTAACTACAACAAGACTGCGCACAAAGACCACTAGGGGGTGCACCAAGAAAGCATAAAAAATGTGGAGACAAAGAAACAGGGCAAAACTGTCAATGGAGGATATTGAGTTCAGAACCACACTTTTAAGGTCTCTCAAGAACTGTCTAGAAGCCGCCGATAAAGTTATTGAGATCTACAAGAAATCTAATGAGACCCTCGATGTTATGATAAAGAACCAACTAGAAATTAAGCATACACAGACTGAAATAACGAATATTATACAGACTCCCAACAGCAGACCAGAGGAGCGCAAGAATCAAGGCAAAGATTTGAAATGTGAAGAAGCAAAAAACACCCAACCAGAAAAGCAAAATGAAAAAAGAATCCGAAAATACGAAGGTAGTGTAAGGAGCCTTTGGGACAGCTTCAAGTGTACTAACATCAGAATTATAGGGGTGCCAGAAGATGAGAGAGAGCAAGATATTGAAAACCTATTTGAAGAAATAATGACAGAAAACTTCCCCCACCTGGTGAAAGAAATAGACTTACAAGTCCAGGAAGCCCAGAGAACCCCAAACAAAAGGAATCCAAAGAGGACCACACCAAGACACATCATAATTAAAATGCCAAGAGCAAAAGACAAAGAGAGAATCTTAAAAGCAGCAACAGAAAGAAACTCAGTTACCTACAAGGGAATACCCATACGACTGTCAGCTGATTTCTCAACAGAAACTTTGCAGGCCAGAAGGGAGTGGCAAGAAATATTCAAAGTGATGAATACCAAGAACCTACAACCAAGATTACTTTATCCAGCAAAGGTCATTCAGAATTGAAGGTCAGATAAAGAGCTTCACAGATAAGGAAAAGCTAAAGGAGTTCATCACCACCAAACCAGTATTATATGAAATGCTGAAAGGTATCCTTTAAGAAGAGGAAGAAGAAAAAGGTAAAGATACTAATTATGAACAACAAATATGCATCTATCAACAAGTGAATCTAAGAATCAAGTGAATAAATAATCTGATGAACAGAATGAACTGGTGATTATAATAGAACCAGGGACATAGAAAGGGAATGGACTGACTATTCTTGGGGGGGAAAAGGGGTGTGGGCGATTCGGGAAGAGACTGAACAAAAATTGTGCACCTATGGATGAGGACAGTGGGGGGGTAAGGGCAGAGGGAGGGGTGGGAACTGGGTGGAGGGGAGCCATGGGGGGGGGGAAAAAAAGAGGAACAAATGTAATAATCTGAACAATAAAGATTTAATAAAATTTAAAAAAAGAAGAAAGTACAGGATTAAATTCTCTGCGTGTTCTTTATTGTTGTTAGCTCTTAACACTGTAATAGTCTCTGGTGATGATGCCTACATGTCAATGAAACTGTTATGAATTATCAAAAAAAAAAAGGAAATGGGATGGAACATCTTTTGTGAGCCTGGGGCTTGAACTGTTCAAAATGAGAGAAAATAAGGAAGCCACTTTCCAACAAGGAAATGGCCTCGGGGCCATCATTCCCGGGCTCTCTAGGGCCAAGTTGCTCATGCCGGGCTGACGAGAGATGCTGCTGGGAGCTAGGCCCAGAGCACAGCCTCAGCCTCTGCAACTGGAAGTCAAATCGCAGGGGGAAGCAGCATGCGTCAGAGCTCTCCCTGACAGGTGCCCTTCTTACACAGGCCTCGCCCGCCCTACCTCCCCCGCCCCGCACCCTGCCAGCACACTGCTGACCTAGACTTCATTCGTCATGTCAAAACCCACCCACGTGAGGAATGAGGCCAAACCAAGGGATACCGTGTCACTGAGATGCTGCCAAAAATTGGCATTTCCCCAGTGGTCCTATCTGGGGGCTAGGGCAACGTAGGGTCTGACATTTGAACAAAGACACCAGCTTTGGGGTTCACATGAGTGTTGGCCTTTCAGAGTCCCTGGGGAGGCTGGCAGCTCAGAGCACCCCAGCATCTTCTACAAGAAGAGCCTTCACAGGTAGCTCATGAGCACCCTGAGAAAACGGACCCCAGATTAACTTTGACCAAAGAGGATACCATAGGCTGGGTCCCTGCCCTGCCCACAGGACATCATCCTCATCAATATTATGACACCCCTTCTCCTATAATGGCCCATCCCCATGAGCACCAAGACTAGCAGGGCATGGGAGCTCATGGCCCAGTCTGTGTCTGCCCAGCGTGTTCTCCCATCAGTTGGCATCCACCAAATGACCCTATCGTCAAAGGTGCTGTGCGAGTGTGCACATGTACATACACACACACACACTCATACACACATTCATACACTCACACTCATACAGATACTCACACACTCATACACACACTCATACATACACACATATACACACTCATACACACACACACTCATACACACATACTCATACACACACACTCATACACACATTCATACACTCACACTCATACAGATACTCACACACTCATACACACACTCATACATACACACATATACACACTCATACACACACACACTCATACACACATACTCATACACACACACTCATACACACACTCATACACACACACACATATACACACTCATACACACACACACTCATACACACATACTCATACACACACACTCATACACACACTCATACACACACACACATATACAC